ACAAAGAGAAAAGCTTCATAGACAATAGCCTGGAGAAAATTATGTTTGCCAAAGCAAGTGGGTGGTATGGGGCTAAGACAGTCTACAGATGAATAAAGCCCTATTTAGTAAGCAAATTTGGAGACTCATGACGTGCACAAATAATATATGGGCAAGGGCAATGAAGGAAAGATAAAAGCAAGCACATGGTTTCTTAAGAGAGCTAAAACCAAACCTAATGTATATTATCAAAGATGGGGTGAACATCCAGGCTTTAGAAGACCCATGGATCCCATTGATCCACGAAGGAAACCCCACACCCCAAAACGAAGTTCCTCCAACAAACCAACACATTAAGGCAGTGGACTTCCTAACAGAGGAAAACTCTTGGAATTAGACAAAGTTGAATATGTTTTTCATCCCCAATGATGCCCAAAAATCATTGAGATACAAACTAACTTAGAACTGGATTCTAACAAGTTTATTTGGAAGAAAACTCCATCAGGGTGATTTGAAAGTAAGTTCATGCTACAGACAATTAATAGCCAATTCCCCCACATCATCTTCCCCTCACTTCAATTGGAAGCTATTATGGAAAACAAAAATACCACCTCACTTCCAAGTCTTTACTTGGAAACTCCTATGGGATGGGGTCCTCACAAAGGAGAAATGTAATGCTTGGCTTTATAAGAATGAGCTAAAATGTGCACTATGTAGACAAGAAGCGAAGACAACAAATCATCTATTCTTTACTTGCGCCTATGCCGGATCAATTTGGTGCCATGCACAAATTGGACTTAACCTAGAGAGAGCAAGGGCCAAGCCAGTCCATAAAATCATTACAGAGTGTCTAAACACATTAAAAGCAACAACAGATAAACTGACAAGTCTCCATCTATTCGGTAATGGCTGCCTCATCTTCTACTTTTTAGGGAAAGCCAGAAATAAATATATATTCAAGAACACCTTATGGCATCCACAAGAATTGTTAACAAAAGTTGACCAATACAGTGAGTCAATGCAAAGTCAAATCCCATCTACAACCATGGGGCCAAGTGCTGCATCTACGACCAACCACACTTTACTTATTGATGGATCTTTTGACCCGTGCATAGGTAATGTAGGAAGGGCATTCATCACCAAACTCTCCACAGAAAAAACCCTTCCAGAAGGTGCACTTTGTTGGGCAGGAGGATCATTTAAGTGTGACCCGGTAATCTGGGTGATCATTGAGAGAAACAGGAGGATCATTTAAGTGTGATCCATTCAGGTATCATTTCACTGTTGGTTGATAAATAAAGCTATAATAATTAATTTATTAATTCATTATTATTTGAAAAAAAATCTCATTCCTATCAGTTGAAGCTTGTGGATCCCAATCCCAACACTAACCTAACAAAATATTTCAACCATGCATTGGAAACATCTCCCCCTATAATGAAGGCTATGTGAGAGGTTGGTGTGAGGATGAATAGATCGTTCCATTAAAATGAAGGTGAATTGAGAGAGAGAGGAGTGGATAAGCAGACCATCAGACCTCATGAGATAAGGACAGTATGCATCCCCATTAACTAAGGAACTCAACTAATTGGGGCAAAAAATGTATTGGATTCTTCTGTAGTCCACCAAAAATGTGTGTTTGTTAGAGAGAGAGAGAGAGAGAGGTGGATAAAGAGATCGACCATCAGTCATCATGAGATAAGGACAATATGCATCCCCAGGAACTCAACTAATTTGGGCTCAAATCCATCAATTTGGGCAAAAACTGTATTGGATTCTTCTATGGTCCACCAAATAAGTTGCCAAGTCAGATGGTGGCTGTAGAGTTTGCTATAGCCAACACAAGACATGTGGCAGAGCCACAAGCTTTTCTTGAACAACCCATTGCGAAACATAAATAATGATTGTGGGGATCTGCTCCTGGCAAAATGCTTCCACACCCTCGCATGCATTGTAGTCGCACATGGAGAACATTTCCCATACTTGTATGTTGTCATTTATGGAAAGATGTTTGTGAATTGGTTTGAAGAGTGCTATGTAAGGAGCAGATTTGAATTCAATTTTAATGTATTAAACCAAGGGGAATAAGCTTTTTTTAACTCTCTCATTTACACTTTTTAGTTTACATCAGGTGGTGTGGCTCCTCTAATTTTATTAAATAGAATCAAATAAGCCTAGGAAGGGGGGCATGAAAGCCAAAAGCTATACAAGATGGTCATTGGCTCAGAAATAAAAGAAG